TGTAGTTCACATTACTACGCCAAACACAAGAAACTGAGTATTATGTTCATTTGATTGCTGGTCTCCGTGCCTGCGCCAGGTCTCAAGAGAGCCATTTAGCCGTGCACAAACGGACGTATGAGGACTGTCTATTTAGAACATGTTACAGCTCTTTTATTGACCAGAAAATGGCATACTTGACATAACGATTCTCAATCGTTATATTTAAAAATGTATTTTCTCATTTAGGAGTTTTTGTAATCGTGTGCAGTTTGGCTTTGGAACAAAAAAGCGTATTGACTTTTCCATACTGAAAAGATAAATGTAACAGAAAAATTGATTTTCTTTATTAGGCGCCTTTCTGACTATTGTGGACTATCTTGCATCTCTACGACTTGCAATCTCTATCAGAGTTTATCTTGTTATGTCAGTCTTATATTATTCTCACTATATAATGAAGGTAAATCAATGGACAGTACCTTCCATCCAGGCACACACACACACACACACACACACAAAATGATATCATGGGACCTAGCCTACCCCCCTCCCAAATATTTTTAGAGTCAAGCCCCTTCCCTCTTGCATCTCCCACATTGTTCCCACTGGCAAGACATCAACGTAGCTGCTTCTGGATACCCAGTTAAGTGATTATGTGTATTCGTGTAGTTTTGTTTTATGTATGTGCTGATGAAGACTCTATAGCCGCATTTTCACGTGTTTTGTGTGTGTGTGTGTGTGTTTTTTTTTTTTTTTTTGCTATATTGCGATGCACGCTGGTCTAACTTTCATTCGGGTTTTTTTTTTTTTTCAAGTGTTTTCAGTTTATTTCATATTATTTCAAATACTTATTTTTAATTTCATATTCAGCAAATTGTATTAATAATAATAATAATTGTTATTATTACTATATTATTATTACGCTATTAAATAAGGCCTAACACCATTGAGCCGCTAAATTGTCTAGGGCGAGGGGCTCAAAGGCCGTAACCCTTATCTAACTGTACAATTATATGAATAATAATTGTCATTATTTGTATCACTATTATTACTTTGCAAAGAGACAATGTTGAAACCCGCCCCAGGAAACAGACTGGGTCTGTGTTGAGTCTGAGCAATATTCTCTCTGTGGCGACACGGCTGCTTCTTATAATATTTCTCCATAACATCGTTGTCAATATACATCTTAATATTTTTGCTGCAATGGTCTATAGTTTAGAATGCACATACCGGTAGTTTATTCAGCAGAACTATAAATATGGATTTCAATAGATCATGCAGGGATGATTAGAAGCACTAGTAAACGCCAGCTACAATGAAACCGATTTAGGAACAAAGTTTGATTGCTGTTAAAATTGTACTTCAGTTCTAATGGATTAGCTTATTTGCTTCATTTATGTAACTGTTACTGTGGTATGCACCTGATGAAATAAGAGAAAATGTTTGTTACTGTAGTATGCACCTAATGAGATACGGAAAAATGTTTGTGTTACTGTGGTATGCACCTGATGAGATAAGGGAAAATGTTTGTGTTACTGTGGTATGCACCTGATGAGATAAGGGAAAATGTTTGTTAATGTAGTATGCACCTGATGAGATAAGGGAAAATGTTTGTGTTACTGTAGTATGCACCTGATGAGAAAGGGAAAATGTTTGTTACTGCAGTATGCACCTGATGAGATAAAGGAAAATGTTTCTTACTGTAGTATGCACCTGATGAGATAAGGGAAAATGTTTGTTACTGTAGTATGCACCTGATGAGATAAGGGAAAATGTTTTTGTTACTGTGGTATGCACCTGATGAGATAAGGGAAAATGTTTGTTACTGTAGTATGCACCTGATGAGATAAGGGAAAATGTTTGTGTTACTGTAGTATGCACCTGATGAGAAAGGGAAAATGTTTGTTACTGCAGTATGCACCTGATGAGATAAAGGAAAATGTTTGTTACTGTAGAATGCACCTGATGAGATAAGGAAAATGTTTGTTACTGTAGTATGCACCTGATGAGATAAGGGAAAATGTTTTTGTTACTGTAGTATGCACCTGATGAGAAAGGGAAAATGTTTGTTACTGCAGTATGCACCTGATGAGATAAAGGAAAATGTTTGTTACTGTAGTATGCACCTGATGAGATAAGGGAAAATGTTTGTTACTGTAGTATGCACCTGATGAGATAAGGGAAAATGTTTTTGTTACTGTAGTATGCACCTGATGAGAAAGGGAAAATGTTTGTTACTGCAGTATGCACCTGATGAGATAAAGGAAAATGTTTGTTACTGTAGTATGCACCTGATGAGATAAGGGGAAATGTTTGTTACTGTAGTATGCACCTGATGAGATACGGGGAAATGTGTCAGGCAGTGAACTGTGCAACATATTGTTGGTGTCTTCTTTTTTCAGACGTAAAAATGTCTTTTTGTTAATTCTCTCTGGCGAGGCAATTAGAGAAAAGTCGCGTGACTATCGATTACGTCGCTGAGACAGAATCAGAGCTAAAATACCGTACGACCCGACTAGGCATTGTAACACCGTAGTCAACAATAACAATTATAATACTTAAAAGGCAAGACGTTGGCGAGAAGCTGAAAAGTCATCATCATCATCAAGTGCCTTACCAGCTGGCGTAGGCGTTCATTTGTCGCCAAAGATCTCAGTCTTTGGTGTTCTGGATCAATTCCACTGATGATATTCCTCCATGCCACTCTCTTAAATTATCATAATTTCTCTGGGTCTGCCTCTGCCTCTTCTACCAGTGATCTTTCCAGTCGTCATATTTTCCAGTGCTTCTTTTCTCCTTACATGACCAAATAAATGTGTCCTATTCTCATTGTTGAATATAATGTTGTACTTTCATAAACCATTTCCAGGCATTCAATGGTTGTTATTATGGCAGTCCTAAGTATTCTCAACATTGTTCTCAAGAACCGCATCTCAGTTGTCACAGGTAGCAGGGTCAAACAAACACTTTCAATGGAGGACGAGAGAGATGAGAACTGTGTAAACATATTGATAGGACCATTCCATGCCCTTGGAACATCGACAACGTGCTGCTACATCCATAATTGAATAGACCAGTCGGCATTCAGTGGGCGATTTGGCCGACAGCATGCTGGCAGCATGCACTTCCCACAACTTTTCCTGGTACCCGTTGTAGTCTTCTTGGACCTTTGAAGCCTTGGGTCAGTCATTAAAGTAATCCCCAATGCAGATTCGGATTTAAATTTGCATGCGATTTGCATAGATAAACAACAACACATTCACATTCACACATTATCTGGACTGTTCATAGGATTCCCAGTCGCTTTCCATGAAAGGGGAATATTGAACACGGAGTCAGCGTCTTTACACTGTGAGATTACTGTCATGCTACAGAAACACACACACACACACGCACAAACACATACACACACGTGTAAATACACAAATACATGGAAATACACACACATTTAAACACACACACACGCGCCAACACACTATATCTAACTGTCCAGCTTCGCCCGGGATAGTGAAGGAAAGTTTTACCATCAACATGGCCTCAACTGTTGCAGTGTGTGTAGTAGAAACTCCACAGAGGAGCCAGCATGACTTGAGCCTTCCGTCTTAAAGTTTCTCCTGCACGCCGTCGTCTCCTAAACCTGTCAGTTTCCCATTTTCTGTGCATGTCTGGTGATTCTCTGAATCTTATGTGCAAACAAACTGTTGTAGGGTGTGGGAGCTGCTCCCAAAGTCACGGCCTGACGTGGGGTGGTAGGAGCGTCCTAGGCCAGTTCTTCACACAGTTTGCGCTACGGCTACACTAGCGCCCCTTTGGAGTGAAGGAGCAGTGACTCGAGGCGTGACTAGTGATTAAAATTTTTAATGTTGGCAGTTCCCTGAATCTTACCGACATATCAATAACCACTTGCAGCGTCTCTATCTTACTTCAACAAAATGTTTTTTAAAAATGTAACGATATAAAAGGCAAAAGTATTCAGAAGGATAAAACTCTCGAGAAAGTTTACTTTTACAGACTTTCGCAATAAATAAGAGAAATGCACAACCACCTGGCCGCCTACGTGCCTGTTAAATTACCCACTGTAGCCATAATGGCAGTTAAAAATGTAACCTGTGTATTGTTCATAGTTTGTGACAAGTTAACAGTTTTTTTTTTATAATGAAGACACAAAATAAAGAAAAGGTTTGTGATTTATTGTATGTGTGTATGTGTATGTGTCTGTGTGTGTGTTTGTATGATATATATTTATATGTTTATAAACAGGCACAAAATACTTCACCCCAATATGGGATGCCATGTTTTTTTTTGTTTTTGTTTTTATTATTATTATAACGTCCCACTGCGACTGTTGTTAGGGGCCCTAGTAAACCTAACATTTAAACTGGGTTCCTGGGACTTGTGCCCGGGTGACTATCATCTAAATGGCCCCACTTCGTGTCACCGGATGTTTGTAATTGTTTGTGCGGTCCTGGTGTAGCTGAACATCACTCACTATACTATATACTTTATATATATGGGTGAACATTTGCATATCTTAAATGAATATATATGTGTATATTAACACAAATCCATAGAATCGTTGATTTGACTGATTTTATTGCCAGCAGGACTATAGCCTAACCACCGTGATGAGCCAGTGTGATAACTATAGCCTAACCACCGTGATGAGCCAGTGTGATAACTATAGCCTAACCACCGTGATGAGCCAGTGTGATAACTATAGCCTAACCACCGTGATGAGCCAGTGTGATAACTATAGCCTAACCACCGTGATGAGCCAGTGTGATAACTATAGCCTAACCACCGCGATGAGCCAGTGTGATAACTATAGCCTAACCACCGTGATGAGCCAGTGTGATAACTATAGCCCAACCACCGTGATGAGCCAGTGTGATAACTATAGCCTAACCACCGTGATGAGCCAGTGTGATAACTATAGCCTAACCACCGTGATGAGCCAGTGTGATAACTATAGCCTAACCACCGTGACGAGCCAGTGTAATAACTGTATGTGTCTGTTTCAGGTACACGGACATCCTTGACCTCTTCCCCAATGAAACCATCAAGCCGTTCGTGTTATGCTCCCACTGGTTGTGTTACTTCAATTCTGCCATCAACCCGACCATTTATAACTTCATGAGCTGTAAGTATTAGTACCACAAGTCCTCTTCAGCTCTCTTTCTCCCTTCCTCTCTCTCTCTCTCTCTCTCTCTCTCTATATATATATATATATATATATATATATATATATATATATATATATATATATATATATATATATATATATTCCCTAGTATGTGTTTGTGCATCCTGTTTCCCTTGCAGTCAGGCGTGGGAGAACATCCTTGTCTAGATCTCGCAGGCTCTCGCACCCTTATAACTATATCATTAACTCTCATTCACAGAATGAGTGTTTGTATTATACATCATCAACATACTATCTTCTTCTTCTTCACTTCCTCTTTTACCGTTGTGGGTGTCGAGGGAGATATAAGGTTCTGTTTCTAGCTCTTCAGGCCGCCTCGATCATAGGCACATCGTCCTGTTGTAGAGTTTCTCTGATGTTATCCTTCGATCTTGTTCTTGGTCTACCTCGTGCTCTACGTCATTCTTCTCTTTCCATGTATGCTTTGTATGGAATGGTGTCACAAGGCATTCTCTCTAAGTGGGCAAATCATTTCACTTGCTGTCTTCGTATGTAGTCCAGAATTGGTTCTGTGCCGACTTTTCTCTTATGGTCTCATTCCTGACTTATCTCTTATGGTCACTCCTAACATACTATACCTTTTCAAAAAAGACTCATATGGCACAGCAGCGAGCGACCAGGGGATCTGATCGACACTCTTCACCCGGGGAAAGGCCAGACGAACATATAATCTGTTACTAGCTCGATCGAAATTTGTACACTTCATTGACTGCTGAAGATGAGGACGTACTGCGTGTGGAAAAGTCCTGGTGCTATGACGTCGGTTTTCAACGCGATTAAGCTCGGTATCCCTAACTCGTCATTTAATATAAATGCATAAACCGTCTCACACACGCACGTACACACACACACACACACAGACACACACACACACACACACACACATACGACACAGATTCGTAAGAGAGTTAGACAACCAGGCAGACAGACACAGAGACACAGCCAGTGTTTGTGAATGTGTTTTTTCCTCAGAACTATTAGTCATGAAACCTCATTAAGAAAATGCGTTAAATGAAGCCTTATGCATAAAGAAAATCGAAGGCTAATGCATCTGTACACACGAAACAACATATGATTGCTGGTGTGCCTTATCCTATCTTATTCTATCTCTGAGGCAACATAGGATGCTGATTCATGTCTATTCTATTCCTTAGGCAACTTTAGGCGAGAGTTTAGAATTGCCTGTCATATTTGCTGCAGAAGAGGATCCACTCACAGCACAATATATGAAGGTAAGCGGCTATGTGTGTCTGTGCTGACTAGATGTGTTTGTTGTTTAAAGTACGTTATTTTCAACAAGCATTCGCACGCAGTTTTTGTCCGGGGGAGGGGGGTAAGCACACACACACACACACACACACACACACACACACACACTCACACTCACATAGAAAGAGAGAGAGAGAGAGAGAGAGAGAGAGAGAGAGAGAGAGAGAGAGAGAGAGAGAGGCTTGGTAATTAAAACATGCACCGAAATCAGTTTCCCAACAGTGACACATGAGCTGTGTTACTATTGTAGTGAAATGACTAGGAGTTATCTACTATTCGTCTTAAAATAAACCATTATTTTTTTTAACTCGTGTCGTCTCTTTTTTTTTTTTTTCCTGCCGGTGACTTTATGCCTGTGTTCACTCTCCATGACAGTATACCAGCCACATTGACATCATTGTTCGTGCCGCTGCTGCGAGCGGTTACAAACGTACTGTGTGTTCTCCTGTGTCATCGACTTCAGACGTTATCTACCTTCGTCTGTGCTGTACCTGTCATTGTTGCTCCTCCAGTATTGCTGTCCTTGTCTGTGCTCTGCCTGTCATTGTTGCTCCTCCAGTATTGCTGTCCGTGTCAGTGCTGTACCTGCCATTGTTGCTCCTCCAGTATTGCTGCCTGTGTCTGTGCTGTACCTGTCATTGTTGCTCCTCCAGTATTGCTGTCCGTGTCTGTGCTGTACCTGTCATTGTTGCTCTTCCAGTATTGCTGTCCGTGTCTGTGCTGTACCTGTCAGTGTTGATTCTCCAGTATTGCTGTCAGTGTCTGTGCTGTACCTGTCATTGTTGCTCCTCCAGTATTGAGGTCCGTGTCTGTGCTGTACCTGTCATTGTTGCTCCTCCAGTATTGCTGTCCGTGTTTGTGTTGTACCTGTCATTGATGCTCCTCCAGTATTGCTGTCCGTGGGATTAAATCCTCATGGCAGAGAGTCTGACAGGACCAGATTCCAGAATCCCCCTTCAGTCGTACATCACAGCTCTATCTGGTCGACTCCTACGGTTACCTGCAGTTCAGTGTGGGACACTATAAGTGAACCAACTATTTTATGCCTGGTATCTTTTGATTCATTGTTTAGTCTACGTCGTGAGACATTGGTGGTTATTCCCATCCACTTTCTGTCATGAAAATGTCAGACATTTCTAGTTCAGTTACCCCTCCCTGCCATGATCTCAAACTTCTTCTTCTTTTTCTTCGTTCACCGGCTGTGAATTCCGGCGGAAGGTCAGGGTTGATCGTCCGCTTGAACTTTTGTCTTTTACCTAGACCTGAGTTTTGCGTGTACAACCGTTTTACTGGCTTTTGCCGTTCCCTGCCTCACGGTCAGATGTACTACGACTTTGAGGGAAGATCTCAAACTGTCTGACATCTTTCTACAAATACGAACACATAACATAATGTAGATGTGTGCACATGTAAACAAACTTATCTCAACATTTGGCAGTCTCCATGGCTGGGTGGTTCAGCAGTTTGTCTCGCGCTCTGAAGGTCTTGGGGTCAATTTCGAACTAGATCTTACGTTCACGAGTGAAGGTATTTCGAAAATCTTGGGGGGGGGGGGGTGGTGGGAGTGTTGTCCTTGGAGCTAGGAAGCTCTCTGCTTCGAATGACGGTCTCAGCTATAAAAAAAACTCTCTGGACTGGAGAGAAAGACCTAGCCGTAAAGGGGGGGGGGGGGGGGAAGCTCCCACAGCCACTGAGCTCTGCCAGCCCCTGAGCTCTGCTAGCCCCTGAGCTCCCCCAGCCCCTAAGCTCCCCCAGCCCCTAAGCTCTGCTAGCCCCTGAGCACTGCCAGCCACTGAGCTCTGCCAGACACTGGGCTTTGAGCTAGTCAGGTGTTACTGTCAGTGATTAATTAGGTTTAGATGTACAACATGAAAGGGCGCAAACTTCAATAATTAATGGCATTGTGTGATACCTGTCTCTGTTGCGATCTACAATAAACAAGGCAATGTTCTCTAATGTATAGTCTGATGCGATCTACATAGAAATGTACACAAAGGGGAACATGTTTACATCCGCCGTTTTTTATTTTAGCCTAATCGAATATTGTTTCTGTCTACATTTCTGCCCACTTTTATCTTTAAACAAACATATTTTGTTCCTGTAGCTGCTTACATGTATTTTAGATCTTAGGATGTTTTTCTTCAGTATCAAGGTCAGATTTTGACTGTCAAAAATCGCAGCTTAGAAGGAAATCTATTTCTGAATCTGAAGAAAGGGAAAACATGTCCACACGAATACAGCACACCAGCCACTTATTAGAGTCAACAACGAAGAGATTGCAAATGTCGCAGATTTTGGATATTAAGGCTCAGTATTAAACAGTCGGCTCTGTGGCTAAGTCGATGAGAACGCTTCGTAATGCCGGGATGCCGGGTTCGATTCCAGCTGCGGGCCATTCGCCTTCTGTTGGAAAGCAATGGCAAACTACTGGGTGTAATTGCCTAGAGAAACCACACAACAGCCAGGGGCTGCTGGGGTTGGTTCTGCAACATCCTGTAAAGGATACGCAACTAACCTTTATTTAAACATCAACTGCTACAAAAGTAAGAAAAAAAAACTTGCAATGGCAATGCCGAGGCTAAACAGCATGAAGAACTCATGGTACAGCACACACAAGCAACTTTAAGTAAACAAATGCGAGATTTGACATCTTTCGCGTAGAAACTTGTGGTTGTTAATCACAGACTCTCATTCACGCTTTCTAGAAGAAAATCGGAGCTTTTAAACTGAAACGAGACATAATTTTTTTTAAGAATACCATTGACCGAGAAGAAGAAAACAAAACGTCGTCATCCTGCGTGACCTTAACGTCGAGCAGAACTGGCTCATAAACAGCACCCTCTGCCGAAAGCTGAGGTATTCTGGACATGCCAAGCGATGTGGTGGTCTGGACATGCCAAGCGATGTGGTGGTCTGGACATGCCAAGCGATGTGGTGGTCTGGACATGCCAAGCGATGTGGTGGTCTGGACATGCCAAGCGATGTGGTGGTCTGGACATGCCCAGCGATGTGGTATTCTGGACATGCCAAGCGATGTGGTATTCTGGACATGCCAAGCGATGTGGTATTCTGGACATGCCAAGCGATGTGGTGGTCTGGACATGCCAAGCGATATGGTAGTCTGGAAGAGGCAAACCTCTGCCAATGTGGAAACAGGACACTGAATATGTACTAAAATATGAAATCACACAGTACTTAAGAACTAGCTGGAGAAAGGAAGGCTTTTGTGTGTATTGTGAAGAGAGCGACGTTCTGTAAAGGACATGCTGATTAACTGATTGATTGATTAATTGATTGATTGATTGATTGATTGATTGATTGATTGATTGATTGATTGATTGATTGATTGATTGATTGATTGATTGATTGATCAAGATTTGACGCATTCTGTTCAACGTAACTGATTCATTTATAGTGTGTGCGCATGAGAGAGAGAGAGAGAGAGAGAGAGAGAGAGAGAGAGACAGACAGACAGACAGACAGACAGACAGACAGACAGACAGACAGACAGACAGACAGACAGACAGACAGACAGACAGACAGACAGACAGACAGACAGACAGACAGACAGACAGACAGACAGACAGACGGACAGACAGACAGACAGACAGACAGAGCGACGTTAATATCCAAACATGGGTGCCCGAACATAGGAGTTAAGGCTTGTTGAAGCCATTCAGCCCCTAGAACAATTGTAAGACTGAGGCCCCTACCTTGCTTTAGAAAATGTGAGAGGCTTAGCCGCACCCGTAACAATAATAGAGGTAATGTTTTTATGTGTTCGTTTCTAAATGTAATATTTGTTAGCACACTATATTCATTACTATTATTGCGCACTTAAACATTGCTAAGACACCTTCTCGGTCACCCTGTATAAAATATGTAAAAGGGATGGGGCCGGAGACCCAGTCACCCATCACCCGCACCCCAAAGTTATCTTTGTGCCGGTGTCACCGTATCCAACTACTACTTTGCTGACTATCTATTAATACACTATAGATTATCTGAAGTAACTTCTAGTGCCCAACGCACTGTTTGTTTAGTCTAGCTCATAGCCATGCCGTAACGTATCGATCAGGCGATTCTTTAGTGGCAACAGCCATTCTGCCACGGGCAGACAGTAGATTAGTGAGAAATACTGCACAGTTGTAGCGTTGAGGAGAATAGCGCCAAAGGTTAACAAAAGTAATAAAAGTATATTGAACCAGTTCTTGCACAAACACTGTTGCAGTTGTTCCTGGCAATGATAGGTTCATGTTGTCAAAGAAACTGACCGGCTACTGCTAAAATTCTGGCCCTGTCTGACATGTTGGTAATGGCTCCAGCATTGTGATCCATCGGTGACTGTACGCCATCAGTGCGTACATTTCCGGTTTCCCCCCACTGTATTTTGTTAGATAGGAAGAATTCATACAAGATATTTTGTTTGATAGGAAGAATTCATACAAAATATTCAATATTTAACCCGCTGGTGTTGGCTGGATGTGTTCTGCAAAGTCCTCGTGGTAACGAAGTAGGTAAACGTAACGAAGAAATACCATTAAACCCGCTAATCCGGCAATGTCAGTCGATCCTTCCATTTGTAGTGTGAATTTTGTATACTGATGTCTTTTTATGTCGTTGTTGCAGTCTTATTTGGCCAAGGATTAAAACGTCAATTATTAGGAAGAGGAAAGGTAGAAGTCACACGGCCAGGAATCTAAAGTTACCCAGGCGATGGTTTTATTAGGTCGGGATGGAATGGTTTCCTAATTGAGAACCAGCGATGGGAGTGGCGTTGTAGTTAATTCACCAGGGTTTAGATTTATCTGAGAAGAGAGTATTTGGGTGTTATCAGGGACAATAGGCTCAGGTCAACTAGTCTGGGGCTAGTTAGATTGAGGTGTTAGTTCTTAGGCTTTAAACCGTGGGAAGGAATTTGTGTTGCACAGGGAAATGCATAAACAGGGTAGTAAAGGTGGAG